ACTACTACAACTACTACGACGACGACGACCATTGCTACTACTGCTGCTGCTGCTACAACTACTACTACTAATACTACTACTACTACTGCTACTACTACTACTACTCCTACTACTACCACGACGACGACGACGGCCACGACCACGACCAAGACCACGACCACGACCAAGTCCACGACCACGACCGCGACAACGACGACGACGACGAGGACGAGGACGAGGACGAGGACGAGGACGACGACGAGGACGACGAGGACGACGAGGACGACGAGGACGACGAGGACGACGACGAGGGCGACGAGGAGGAGGAGGAGGAGGACGACGACGACCACAACAACAACAACAACTACTACTACTACTACTACTACTACTATTAACTACTTCTACTGCTGCTGCTACTACTACTACTACTGCTACTACTACTGCTACTACTACTGCTACTACTGCTACTACTGCTACGATGCCTGCCACTGCTACTGCGACTGCGAGTGCTACTGCTTCAAGCTACTATTACTAGTACTTACTGATGTAACTGCAGCTACTACCTCCGCTCCTACCATGACCGTTGGTGTGATAATCACCATTTTTACTTGCATCTTTTCCCAACTCCTGTAATTAGCACTGCTTGTGTTGCTATTGCTGGTGCTGGTGCTAACTTTATTGTCCTAAACAGTTTGCGTAATGTGCCTGTTCGGTTGTTCAATGCGACTACCAGAACTGCCACTAGGCACTGCTAAGCTGATTCTGCCAGCATTATGCTGACTATGTGGGAAGTACAATAATGACCACGATATATCTGTTCCCACTGTACTACAGCCTTCCATGTTGGCCAAGCTGCGTAGATTCGTCGCAGCCTCGGTTGCCGACGTGGCTGCACGCCATACGAGTAGTATTGACCCATGATCACGGCAATGATGATGGCGACATCATCACCATCACAACCTGTTTCCTCATCGATCTCATTCATCGCAAAGTCCAAGCGGGATTGACTACTACCAACACCACGACCACGAGCGCGACCACTACCACTGCGACTACTACTGATACCACTGCGACTACTACTGATACTACTGCTACTACTACTACTACTACTCCTCCTTCTCCTCCTCCTGCTGCCGCTGCTAGTACTACTCCTGCTTCTTCTGCGATTCGGTTGCGCATCCTGATGCAATGAAAAAAGGCCTGTACACTGCAGGGCCCGAAGCTCTAAACCGAAAAGAGATGAAACTGAGACCCTAAACCCTAAACCCTAAACCCTAAAGATCCAGGCTCAACCTTGAGCTCCGCCAGATCCGCCGCCAAGGCACAGGGCAGAGACATTGTGCCTACCGCGCACAGCACCTCGGCTTTGAAGTAACCAGGGAGAAAAAGTATAGACTTTTATTTCATAAGGGTCTTTAAGGAACAGGTCCCAAAAAAAGTATTAAAGTATGGTACTCCAAAGCCCAGGCACAGATTCCCGGAAGGGCGGTGCAACGCCGGAAGGTCTCCTGGATAGCCAGGCTGACGACACTAGCCGAAGCGGCGAAGCTCGTGGTGCTGATGGTGGTGCAGTCGTAACAGTGGCAGTAGCAGTAGCGGTAGCGGTAGCAATAGCAGAAGGCGTAGGTCAGCTGGGGGAGTAGAGCTTAGGGCTTCGAGGGCTTACAACCTCTAAATTCAGGCAGCAGGGACCTTACACCATGTTCGCCAGACCATGCCAGACCCATACACATGGATAGTTCTCTAAATCAGGGTCCCTGTCTAAATCCCAGTATAGTACGGCACCCTTATAAACAGGACCTAAAAAGGGTCCCTAGTTTAGACAACTACTTGGAGGATCATGGGACTTAGTAACTAGGCGGAGCATTTTTTGTTTTTCCTAACGTTGGCGGTCCCCGGTTTCCCTTGCTAAGGTTGGCGGTCCCGTTTTGGTTAGAACTACTATGCACTGCAGCATTTCCTATTGTTTTGCATCTAGCTATTAGGCAACTGCAATTAGCAGGGTGGCCTTTGGCCGCCAGCTATTGGAGAATTATATACAATTTGCAA